TTTGCCTGGAGGGTGATGACCTGGTTGCCATTGTTCTGAAGGTTGGGAATTTTCACATTTAGTAATTTCACTTAATCCTCACATTGGGGAAGGTCCTCAGGAAGACCTGACTGACAGTTGACCTGTGAGCTGTACCTCTCCAGTCAAAAGCTCTTCATACACTCCCCTGTCCTTGGAATGTGGGTTTTGCCTGCCTTCTCCACTTCTAGAGGCTTCCTGGAGGACATCGTCTTGAGATAGTGATGTGGTGTTGAGACCATGTGGTCAGTATATGTTACTGAACCCAGTTAAGTCTTCTATAAAACTTTTAAGATTTGGTGAGTGACTGTGGGGATCTACCTGTCTTGCAGCCACCCAAGACAAGCCTCTTCCCTTTGCTTATTCAACCTGCCACCCACCGGTCTAGAGTGGCTTGCTTCATTCTTTGGTCTCTCCCTGCCCTCTGAGTATGGGGACAAGTTCCAGATTATACCTGGAAGCCCTTTGAGGACCTTAGAAATCAACACCCTATTTTTTGGTTCAGAGATTATACTCTTAACTATGCTTGCATCCCCATTGCAAAGACTTTCCATTTATTCCCTCTAGAAGAAAAAAATGAGGCTCTGCTTAGGAGGAGGGAAGACCTTTCACTCAGTGGCATGAAGAGGCAGAGTCTCTGGGAGAATAACTACTTACAGCACTCTTATCCAATCATTTTTATTTAAGCCTCGTTCACCATATTCTAGAAGTGCCTGTTGCTGCCAGTTTCTGAGTCCTTTGAGAATTTCATGAACAATTTAGGATGGCTCTCAGTGTTCCCTGCTGCTAGCCTGGGCTTCAGTCCTGCTAACTTGATTACTGCTCATCCATCTGCTTTCCAGCTTCCAATATTTTTATGGCTATTCTCTCTTCTAGTCTCCTCATCCTTGTATGTCTTTTTAAGAACACTCTTTACTATCTATTCTATAAGGGGTGACATGGAGGCTTCATGTGAAATTGAAATATCAAAATAATTGCCTGATTTAATCATTTTGTAAAAAATTAAGTTTATTACTTTATAGTAATACTCTATGCTTATGTGAAGGAAGAATAATCAAGCATCATATTAGTAGAATTTAAGGTAACAAGTGTTTTACACAGAAAATTCCATATGGAGTCACTTTTTTATTTTCAATTAAAAAATCCATTAAAAGAAAAAAAACTAAAAGATACCTGGTGTGCCCAATATCAATCAGATACTTTTCACCTCGATTCTCACATAAACCATGCACATATAATTTATATTTCATGGTAGTTTGTAAGAAATTTTGTGTAATTGTAGCTTTGGCCTTGAGGAAGTGGAAAACTTCATTTTACAGGCAGTACTAATTACAACAAACCTTAATTAAATAATGACGATGAGGCAGGTACTCTTCCTGCTGCCAAGGCTTGGAGAAGTAAACATAAGGGACCCAAAACCCTGGCCTTCTGAGGATCCCATTCCAGTCAATAGAATTCTAGTATTGAAATAAGCATAAAAGACACCAAAAAAGCTCCATTAGCAAATTCTGTGAAATTGGGTATCTGTATTTATATTTATGGGTATTTCTTATTGTACTGTTTTTAACTTCTGCAGTGGAGATGATTAACAGATTGGATTCTGATTAAACTACATTGTTTTCGTAGATGTTGTTTGTTCACTATAACATTCCTTTCTCAGGATGACTTGAAAACAGACTAGCAAGATATGCACAATGTGGTAAAACAAGTTAAAGAAGTTGGAGAACTGAAGCCAAGAGAGAATATGATAGGTAAACAGAATGTTAAGAACAACAACAAGGTACAAAATGCATGTGGAGAAGTCCCATTCCTTTTCCTAACTACTTTCCAAATATTACCTCATTTAATATTCACAGTAACCCGTGGGGCGATGCTTGTATTATTGCTGTTTTGTAGATGAGGACACAGAGTATCAACGAACCTATGTAAATAGCTCAGGGCCACAAAACCTCAGTAAAATGTAGAGATCTAGTATTTGAAATCAGTTTTGCTTAATTTTTGAGTTGTAACAACCTGTTCCTTTTCTTCGTGGTCTCAGTATCCTCTCTGATGTCTTTGGTGATATCAGTAGTAGTTTCTTTAGAGTTGTCATCTCTTTGCATTGTCTATTTCTTCCAGGTTGCTCTTTTCTCATTGTTTTTGTCTCTAGCTTTCATTTTACAGCAGAAGTTCTCAACTCCAAGTATAATCAAAATCACCTATGGGGCTTAAAAAGTACGATGCTTAGGACCACAACACACCAATCAAATCCAAACCTTTGCTATTGGGGCATATTTCTTCAAAGCTTGCTAGTTGATTGTAATGTATAAATCAGTAGCAATTCTTGAATGTCTGTATGGCTGTGTTTGAGAGGGGAAGACTAAAAAGCTGACTGGAAACCTCAAGCCCAAATGGTTCAATTGGTGGATTCTATTTAACATTTAAGGAAGAAATAACACAAATATTACATATAATTTTTCATAAAAAAAGAAGACAAAGGCCCTCTTCAACCCATTTTATGAAGTCAGTATTACTCTGATACCAGAGCCAGACAAAAGCATTAAAAACACATAAAGAAGGAATGCTAGAAAGAAATACATACACACATAAATACATGCATACATACCTGCAAATATGCATACATATCAAGTATGCCTCATGAATATGGACACAAAGATTCTTAGCAAAATGTTAATGGATAAATTCTAAGAAAGCAAAGTTGATTTAACATTTGAAAGTGAATTAATAACAATATTAACATAATAAAATAAAGAAATATCATTTCAACAGATGTAGAAAAATGTTTGAAAAAATTCAGTATCCATTCATAATAAAACATTTAATCAAATGGAAACAAAGGGAACTTCCTCAATCTGATAAAGGCATGTATGAAAAACCTATTGCTAGTGTCATATTTAAGTTGAAAGATATTATACTCATTCCCCCAAATCAGGAACAAAACAAGGATACTGACTCTGACCTTTACATTGAACTAGAGATACTAGCCTTCACAATTAGGTAAGAAGGGGGAAAAAAGGTAAAAAAAAAAAAAAAGAAAAGAAAAGCAGTTCACATTCACAGATGGCATGATTGATCAGGTAGGATATACTAAGGAATCAGTAGACAACTACTTTCTATAGCTATTAAATTAATTTAGGGAGGTTATAGGATCAAAGGTCAATATACAAAGGTTGGTTGCATTTTTCTATTCTAAAAGTGTGAGAGTGGGGTTGATTGACATTTGGTTTCATTATAAGGGGGTCTGCTTGGTTGTTAGTTGAGACACATCAATGTAAATGTTATATATTTTTGCTCTTGGCCTGGTTGGATTCCCCAGAGAAGAGTTTTCCAGTCTTTTGCCTGGAGGGTGATGACCTGGTTGCCATTGTTCTGAAGGTTGGGAATTTTCACATTTGGTAATTTCACTTAATCCTCACATTGGGGAAGGTCCTCAGGAAGACCTGACTGACAGTTGACCTGTGAGCTGTACCTCTCCAGTCAAAAGCTCTTCATACACTCCCCTGTCCTTGGAATGTGGGTTTTGCCTGCCTTCTCCACTTCTAGAGGCTTCCTGGAGGACATCGTCTTGAGATAGTGATGTGGTGTTGAGACCATGTGGTCAGTATATGTTACTGAACCCAGTTAAGTCTTCTATAAAACTTTTAAGATTTGGTGAGTGACTGTGGGGATCTACCTGTCTTGCAGCCACCCAAGACAAGCCTCTTCCCTTTGCTTATTCAACCTGCCACCCACCGGTCTAGAGTGGCTTGCTTCATTCTTTGGTCTCTCCCTGCCCTCTGAGTATGGGGACAAGTTCCAGATTATACCTGGAAGCCCTTTGAGGACCTTAGAAATCAACACCCTATTTTTTGGTTCAGAGATTATACTCTTAACTATGCTTGCATCCCCATTGCAAAGACTTTCCATTTATTCCCTCTAGAAGAAAAAAATGAGGCTCTGCTTAGGAGGAGGGAAGACCTTTCACTCAGTGGCATGAAGAGGCAGAGTCTCTGGGAGAATAACTACTTACAGCACTCTTATCCAATCATTTTTATTTAAGCCTCGTTCACCATATTCTAGAAGTGCCTGTTGCTGCCAGTTTCTGAGTCCTTTGAGAATTTCATGAACAATTTAGGATGGCTCTCAGTGTTCCCTGCTGCTAGCCTGGGCTTCAGTCCTGCTAACTTGATTACTGCTCATCCATCTGCTTTCCAGCTTCCAATATTTTTATGGCTATTCTCTCTTCTAGTCTCCTCATCCTTGTATGTCTTTTTAAGAACACTCTTTACTATCTATTCTATAAGGGGTGACATGGAGGCTTCATGTGAAATTGAAATATCAAAATAATTGCCTGATTTAATCATTTTGTAAAAAATTAAGTTTATTACTTTATAGTAATACTCTATGCTTATGTGAAGGAAGAATAATCAAGCATCATATTAGTAGAATTTAAGGTAACAAGTGTTTTACACAGAAAATTCCATATGGAGTCACTTTTTTATTTTCAATTAAAAAATCCATTAAAAGAAAAAAAACTAAAAGATACCTGGTGTGCCCAATATCAATCAGATACTTTTCACCTCGATTCTCACATAAACCATGCACATATAATTTATATTTCATGGTAGTTTGTAAGAAATTTTGTGTAATTGTAGCTTTGGCCTTGAGGAAGTGGAAAACTTCATTTTACAGGCAGTACTAATTACAACAAACCTTAATTAAATAATGACGATGAGGCAGGTACTCTTCCTGCTGCCAAGGCTTGGAGAAGTAAACATAAGGGACCCAAAACCCTGGCCTTCTGAGGATCCCATTCCAGTCAATAGAATTCTAGTATTGAAATAAGCATAAAAGACACCAAAAAAGCTCCATTAGCAAATTCTGTGAAATTGGGTATCTGTATTTATATTTATGGGTATTTCTTATTGTACTGTTTTTAACTTCTGCAGTGGAGATGATTAACAGATTGGATTCTGATTAAACTACATTGTTTTCGTAGATGTTGTTTGTTCACTATAACATTCCTTTCTAAGGATGACTTGAAAACAGACTAGCAAGATATGCACAATGTGGTAAAACAAGTTAAAGAAGTTGGAGAACTGAAGCCAAGAGAGAATATGATAGGTAAACAGAATGTTAAGAACAACAACAAGGTACAAAATGCATGTGGAGAAGTCCCATTCCTTGCTAGGCATAGGCCACACATTTTCTTCTATGTATTTCTGCCAGCATTCTTGTTTTATTATTATATTTTTTATTGAGTTAAAATTTGTGTGTAGCATTATATAGCTTTAAGGTGTACATCTGAAATACTCTACATTATATTTTGACATCTGTATACAGTACAAAGTGATCACCACCAAAAACCTAGTTACTATTCGTCACCATGTAATTGATCACCTTCAACCATTTTACCCATCCACCAACTTTCTCCCCTTCTGGTAACTATCATCTGTTTTTCTATCTATGAGTTTGTTTTATAGTACTGTTTGTTCATTTGTTTTGTTTTATTATATTCCATATATGAGTGAAATCATATACTATTTGTCTTCCTCTAACTTAATTCAGTCAACATAGTACCTCCAAGGTCGATCCGTGTTGTTATAATGGAAAGATTCCATTTATCCATTGGTGGACGCTTAGGTTATTCCATTTATCCGTTGGTGGATGCTTAGGTTGTTTCCATATCTTATCTATTATAAGTAATGCTGCAATGAACATAAGGCTGCATACATCATTTCCAATTAATGTTTCTATATTCTTCAGATAAGTAAGCAGAAGTGGTAAAGCCAGATCACATGATAGATCTATTCTTAAGTTTGTGAAGAATCTCCACACTGTTTTTCACAGTGGCTGTACCAATCTACATTCCCACCAACAGTACGTGAGAGTTAATTTTTTCTTCCACATCATTGTCAACACTTGTTATTTCTTGCTTTTGATATTAGCCATTCTGACTGGTGTGAAGTGATTTTTCATTGTGGTTTTGATTGAATTTCCCTGATGATTTGTGGTGTTGAGCATCTTTTCATGTGTCTGTTGGCCATTTATATGTCTTCTTTGGAAAAATATCCATGTCTATTCACGTCCTCTGCCATTTTTTAATCAGATTCTTTTTATTGTTGAGTTGTGAGAGTTCTTTATATATTTTGGATATTGACCCCTTATGGATATATGATTTGCAAATATCTTCTCCCATTCAGTAGATTGCTTTTTTGTTTTGATGAAGGTTTCCTTTACTGCACAAAAAAACATTTAGTTTGATACGGCTCCACTTGTCTATTTTTACTCTGTTTTCCTTGAATTTGGAGTCAGATCCACAAACACACCAACAACACTGATATCAAGGTCTTACATTCAAGCTTTTAATTCATTTGAGTTAATTTATTTTATGGTGTGAGACAGTGGTCAATTTTCACAACTTTGCATGTTGCTGTCCAGTTTTCCCAGCATCATTTATTGAAGAGACTGTCCTTTCTCCACTGTATGCTGTTGACTCCTTTGTCATAAATTAATTGTCCATATATGTGTGGGTTTATTTATGGATTCTCAGTTCTGTTCCATTGATTTATGGGTCTATTCTTGTGCTAATACCATACTGTTTTGGTTATTATAAGTTAGCAGTAGAGTTTGAAATCAAGGAGCATAACACCTACAGCTTTGTTTATCTTTTGCAGGACTGCTTTGGATATTTTAGATCTTTTGTAGTTCCATACACATTTTAGAATTATTTGTTCTATTTGTGTGAAAAATGACCTTGGTGTTTTGATGG